TGACACAATTTGTCATATCTCAACTGGGCTGGACTGCTACTCAGACCATCGTAGTTGGCTACAACCTTGGTGTGGGCCCTACTAACATCTCTTCTCCATCTTCGTAATATGTAGGAGTCGGGCAGTGAAGTGATGTTATTACGGATGAGTACAGCGATCGCATGCCTGCAAATTATTCCTCGAAACTCAAAGAGGTGACAACTACATACGATTTCACATTTCTCCTTTTGAAAAGTGACATAACAGCTCTTTCTCTTCAATCGATCGTCATGTACGACATCTTCCAATACCTCGTCCCTGAAAAGCACTCCAACGAAGATATGAGATCGCAGTAGACCTTCCCAATGAACTCATCCTGAACTTTCCTAAATTTTGAGATGGTATAAACTAGTTGAAATTGCTTCTCTAGCTCGTATTTCTTTGCACATGGAACCATTTGTGAGTAAGATTTGAAATATGCCCGAAACTCCTTCTCTACCTTATTCCTCAAAGCTCGCTCGTATTGTTCGACAAATTGTTTCAACGACGTCTTAGAGTGCACATACCCGTCGAAGAATGCATTCATGCTCTCACTGCGTTGAGTAGTTAACATTGCAGCCCAGAACATACATTTCAAATAGCAAGGTACCCAACGGCCCCTGTTCGAATACAATCCCGACAACCAGTCATTGTCATGCAAATTATACTTCTCTATCATCGCACTCCAACCCTCTTCAAATTCGTCAACGGTTTCAGTATCATACACCAGTACGTGTATGGCAGAAAAGATTCACCCTTGTCGTTGTGGTGTCCAAACTTCTCTGGCAACTTCTTCAATATGTGCCACAAACACCATCTATGTTTTGTATTCGGGAACACAATCTGAATTGCATTCTGCATGGCCCTGTCTTGATCGGTAATAATACCAAGGGGTGCTTTCTATGCATACACTGAAACCAAGTCTTGAAAAACCACACAAATGTTTCTGTATTTTCGTTTGACAACAAACCACAACCAAGGAGTGTTGATTGCCCATGATGATTAACTCCAACAAAAGGCGCAAATGGCATGTCATACTTGTTAGTTAGGTATGTGGTATCAAATGTCACAACATCCCCAAACTCCTTATATGTCAGCCTACTCCTATTAACTGCCCAGAAAATATTCCTCAAGAGCGACTCTTCATCTAAATCCATACTAAAGAAAAAACCAGAGCACCTTGCTTGCATGTTTGAAAAGTAAAACTGAATTGCTGCAGCATCTTCTTCTCCCAGTCTCAATCGCCTTACTTGTTCAACATAATTTCGACAATCCTTTTCAATGCAAGTCATATTCTCATACCCCCTGCTTCTACAACCGCCGAAATGTAACTTTTATGCAAAAGAATCCCTGCCATGTCATTCACTTCAAGCCGTCGTTTGACATGGGCACTCAATTCTCGGTTGCAACGATACAACCTGGACTTCAAAGGGCTGGTTTTATGATTGTGAATAAGATTAGCTGTGTTAATTTTCCATACTCCACACGCATCTAATGATGTAGTCAACCTAACTTTACAACCCGTTTGAATGGTAGCTTGTGTCTTCATATAACCGCTTGTGTTACTACTTCTACGACTTTCACGGCTACATGTAAACACAATATATCTTACAATTCCATCATCATCCTTTTGCGAATTTCTTTTCCTAACCGGAAAGCCTACGTTGTACGCATATCGTTTGTAAAAATCAAACATGTCTTTTTCATCGCTGAACTTCATACCTACTTCGGGCACAATCATACCATCTAGTCCTACAATTCCATCGTCCACTACATTCACACTTTCCAACATCTTCTCGTTACCTGATTCTAACAAGATATCGTTGTCTGCCTCTTCTGAAATTCCTTTCGTTGCGACCAAAAAAAAAATATTGTAAAGTTTATATATGTAAATCTCTTGAAATACATATAAATCTTCTTTTATATATGTAAACCTCATTCTTAATTCTACTCAAATCTAGTGAAGGAAATAAAAATATCCTGTAAAACATGGCCTTGAAATACACATTTGAATGCAGATTATTAACATTCTTAGATAAATTTTTGGTTGCTGGGTTTTTAGTGAACCTATAATGCTTTGATAAATAATTCCATATATTACATTAATTTGGACTGGACAAATCGACTTCACTTGAAAAATTAAGAACATATTCGATTGCAAGTAACAAAATTCAGAAAATTAAATCCATTTTCAAAAAAATAAATAAATAAATAACACACACACACACACACACACATTTGTTTCATTTTTTTTTTTTTTTTTATCACTAATTCAACTATAAAGTATATTTGAACTTTAAACATTAGTCTAGCTACATGTCATTTATAAGAATTATGCTTGTATTGGACATTTTAATGAAAAATACATGAATTTGATGTGCGCACAAGAGGACTTATTAAATTTCAAACTCAATTGTTAAATTCAATAATACGCAGACAATGTATCCAACGATTAATAACCAACATCAAATTATGCTTGTGAAAGTTTTATTTAAATGATACAGAAAGTTTTGGAAGATCGTTAAGGGCCCATTTTTCCTGACAAACTATCTACAAGATAATTACGAAATGATTAAGACTAATGACCAATGCTAATTGTTCAATTCCAAGCCATGCGGGGATTTTGAAGGGACAGCTATACACACAGGGATAAGCCATGCGGGGATTAACACTAAGACTAATGACCAATGCCGACAAACTATCTACAAGAAAAATTAGAAAATTTTTTGTTGCTGGGTTTTTAGTGAATCCATAATTCTAGGTAAAATGAGACTTTTTGAGAAATTTGAACCCATAATTCTAATGTCTGAGACATTAGTGAACCATAAATTTGGGTAAAATGAGAAGCCATAAATTCTTGCACTTTTCTTACACGTTACTTTATGTAGTTTGTGAAGGAGGAGCTTCCCCATGTGTACATATTTCTATTTTGAGACTCAATTTAACAACGATTTACTCCAAACAGAACAAAAAAGGAGGTTATTATGATTACACTTTCATCTCACAGAGTATACCTTTGTCCCTAAACCAGGATCAAACTAAAATGGGAAAGGGGAATACCTTTGTTCGTCATCTCTTCGAATCAAACCAGATTTCGACTTCTACTTTGCTTCCAAAATGAACCCAATGTTGGATATTTCACGGAACGCCAATCGCGATGACTGGAACTCGCGGCCGAGAGATATTAGTGAAGAAATTGACCCATATTTCCTAAACCCATTGCTTTCGGCGAAATGAACCCTGCATCGGATAATTTTCCCTTTATGAACAAGATATGGCCCACCGTAAATCAGCTCAAAGAGAAGAGAAGCGCTTTCCCAGCAAAAATGAAGAAAATGATTTCACGCAAGATTTGAATGGAAAAGTTAAATTTGCTCCAAAGTCAAGGCCCCATTTGGGAGAGATTTTGAGAATTAATTTTTTGACCATTAGAAGAAAAGTGGAGCTTACTTGTGAGAGAATAAGTCAAAAATTACGATTGAAATAGTGAAATAACGGTCAAAAATTAATTTTTTGGGGTAAAAAATCCATCCCAAACACGCTCCAAATGAAACAAATGGGCCCCCCTAAATCCAAGACCATTTATTCTATTTTTTGTTATAACCATTTATTCTATTTTTTTTATAACCCACGTCAGCTTGTAAACAAACAGGTAAGGGAAAGAGTACAAATAGCTTTTTCCGAACAACAATGCCCAAACATTCCTACAGGTCACGTGCGGATCGCGTGATCAACCTACTAATAATAATAAAATATTAAATAACAGAAACCTATTTAAACACGCAGCAAACCAACCGTTCGTTTTGTTATTTTCCCCTTTCCCGATCCAATTCCCTCTTCCCATTTCACCATTTCCCCAATTTGATTATGAACACGAAAAATTCATGCATGAAGAAGAATGATCGATTCATATAGATAAACAGAAGCATATTTACGTAGTAGAAATGGAAACCCTAAGCGAACAAGCGGCATTGATGAGAGAATCAATGCAGAAAAGCCAGTCGGTTACCGATAATATGGTAGCCATTCTCGGCTCCTTCGACCACCGACTCTCCTCCCTCGAAACCGCCATGCGACCCACCCAGGTATACCCTTTCTTTCTTCTCCTTCTACGGTTCCTTGAAAATTTTAAAGGACATAAAATTTTAACACAACAATAGGAATTAACTATTGCACTCAGGTTTATAGGATATTAAGGAAATTTATTTGATTTGGTTAATTTTGGGACTGTGGATTGTGTTTAGCTGAGAACGCATTCGATAAGGAGAGCGCACGAGAACATTGACAAAACGCTCAAGGTGGCTGAGGCTATTCTAGGACAATTTGATCTCAAACGCCAGGTTTCACTCATTCTTGGTTTACTGGGTTTTCTTTTAAATTTTAACTTATATGCAGAATATATATGTAGAATTTACTCTTGTCAGAGGAGAAAATAGAATGAACATGTTGCATTTTAAAATTATTTTTTTGGAGCATAAAATGCGCTTAAATTTTGCTTGTTTGAGAGAAATATTTCCATGGAAGTGAGAAATATGTGCATAATTAAAACTGAGATTAGGACCGGGTTTGAGTTTTTCTCACCTTATTGTGCAATTTGATTCTCATCTGCTGTGGATGAAGCTCATCCATAGTCTTTTGAATTCAACCAATTTCTTGTTTTCTATTTTCCTAAATGGAGTCTTACGTCTAAGAATATTTAGGAAAAGAGTTTTCCTAACATTTTCAGTGAAGAGGTCTCACGGTATAATTTTCTGAAACACTTCAAAATAGTGCTGAATGAAATTAGTTTAGTCTAATTTTCCCATAGCACCAGCAGTTTGGCTCTTGTATAGTTGTATGCTTCATGTTTATGAGTTTTGGCAGTTTTCACTGTTGAATTTACTAGTTCTGGCACTTCCTTTTACCCTTAACAATTTTGCTTCTTGCTGAAAGTGCGTGGATGGAGAAGTGTTCATTGCCAGTTAGGTCTCGATGTGGCAAATTTTAGAAGATGCACGGTAAAGATAAAATGTAAACTCAAGTTCAAATGCTTTTTAAACTTGTATGTGATTGCAAATTTGCATCTGTATGTTCCAATTTCTTTTACCGTTGTAAAATTATGATTCTACGAACTAGATGTGAAAGATTGCTACCTTATTTCCATTGCTAATGCAACCATGCCAGTAATGAATTGTACATTATGTTAATATCACTGCCTAGCTTATTTAAATTTTCAGGCTGAGGCTAAAATATTGAGGGGGCCACATGAAGATTTGGAGAGTTACCTAGAAGCAGTTGATCAGCTAAGGAACATTGTTCGTTTTTTCAGTGGCAATAAAAGCCTTAAAAGCAGTATCAGGGTGATTAACCAGGCCAATAACTTACTTGGAAGGGCAATCTTTAAACTAGAAGAAGAGTTTCGACAGCTTCTTACCTCTTACAGGTTTGCCATATTTCAGCAATTGTCTTAGACATCTTAGTTCGCCCGTTTACTGGTTATATTCATAGTTTATGCTCAACAAAATGAAGTAAAATCTCTAAACAGTTTGTACAGTCTTGTGTGTGTCTAGTAACTTGTCGGTCTATCCCAACCCCCCCACCCCACCGGGGACTCCCCCTTCCCTCCATACATATACACATACACTACATACATATACACATACACTATCTTTTTCGGGGAAAAAAAAAGTTTCAGATTGTTCTTTATACAATAGTCCCTTGGCTAAGCAATTTTTTAGTGGCTAAGCAATTTTTTAGTTAATGACCGTACCATGCATTGGAAGACTTGGATTGGCTGATCTTGCGTGAAGACTCTTTCATGACTTCGTTTGAGAAATACACGTTTTTTCTTGTATTCTTATTTAAAATGTGATTAACATCATGTCAAATATTATTAAACTCGTAGAATTGCTTGTTGTCACCAAGTGAATTTGTTTGTTATGGGCAAGAGGGTTGCGAAGTCGATCGCTTCTTTTTTCTTTGAATTCATGCAGTTCTTTGTGTTGTGTAAAAACTTTCTGTCTCTATATGGTATAAGTATCACCTACATGTCTGATCAAATTTCCTAAATCCTTACATTTCCCATATTTTCTTAATTATTTCAAAACTCTTCAAAAGACCATTTAGATTGAGTATACGAGCTTGAAATGTGTCACAATAAGTATTTTACTATTTTTCAGTCTCTATTATGTGTTAAAGTCTTTCCTTTGGTAGAAGTTAATTTACATTACATGTCAACCATGCAGCTATTATGGATAAACACACTCTAGATTTTGCTTCTGTTAAATCTAATTGCTGAACTGTGCAAGTAATGGCAGCAGTGTACAATTTATTGGTGATAGTCAGTAGTCTTAAGAAGTCTTAGTTTCTGCTTTAATGGACTTAAAGTTTCAACTTGTTGCATAAAATTTAGGACCTTTTCAATAATGAAAACATCAGAGCCCTAATGTCTGTGGAGGTCTAGGTTCCCCTACGAGCTATAATTTAACAGATTCATCACATGTCATCTGTCAATGTACTGCTACTTGCAAAAGATAGTAGCATATAACAACAATACTGAACTTTATCCTCAATGTTGTTAAATGCTGCATGTGATGGTTGACAAAAATTGAGGATTAATGCTGGTGTAAACTGTTGAAAAGATAAATAAGGCTCTTAGAGTTGTGCCTTTGTTTTTATTGCAAAGTGAGGCTATGTCATTCTCTTACATCAGATTATTTACCTTTTGAAAGCCTCCATGAATTTTGATCCCCCCCTCTTTTCACCTGTCTAAAAGCTTAGTATTTCAGAGGGTGAAGGAATTTAGTTTTTTATATTTTATCTTCAAACACCCTTTTACATTCATGATTCATTTTTGTTAAATAGCATCCTCTCGACAGCCAATGACCCAGCTACGACTGCTAACTCCTTGAACTCAGTACGCTACCCTCCCATTCATTAACATATAGGCTTACCAAGGTGGATGCTTCTCGCATTCATCATGCGGTAAGTGGCAAACCAAAACCTACTCCAAACATGTTGCTGGCTTTTCATCAGTCGTTGCGCTCTAGATCTAAAAGCTTAAGCAGTAGAGAGAATTTGTAGTTATATTGTCAACAAGCTCCTCATATACAGGCTGGTATCATTATTTTATTGAAGGCACACGTGAAGGTTTTGTAAATGGGTGGTGGCAAGACACAAATCCACAACTATTTCCTGCTATTATACTCTATTGAGCTACCTCTTCTAAAATCTAAAATTGTTATAAGCTGGAGGGACTTATATTTCATCTTCAGGTCTCCTTTATAGTATAAGTATTGTGAACGCTTAAGAAAGGAGTAATAGAGGAATAGAAGGCTCCACTGATTTGGAAGTGTGGGGAGGTAATAAAATAATGAAGCTTTATGTCTGAGGAGTATGAGCTCAGGGATTAAGTTATCCAAGCATAGGAAGATTCAATTTTCAAATTTCTTGCTTTCTTACCTTTTGAGCAGTCTTAACTGAAAGATTTGCATGCCAAAGATCAGCAAAAAAGATCAAGTTTTTTATCCTTGTCTAGTTCTGGTTAATATACTTCTCATATCATATCAATATAAGCTTCTCAAGTGGGTTGGATGACTTGAAGAATATACTACTCAAGGTGGTCTGTGGCACCATTCTATTATGATTTTTTACAGTAAAGAGAATGATTTCAGGTATTCTTTATGTCTTTTATTCACCTTGATTTTGTGCCTCTTTACTCTTACGTGATACATGTTATTATCTTAGTGCATATGAAAATATTGAATTTAGTTTGTAATTGTTCATAATGCTCAACCTATTTCATAGATTCAATATAAGGTTTTCTTTTGCAAGCTCTTGACGTTCTTTATAATTATGAGCAATACAGCTGCACTAGTAAATTTACTTCTAATGCTTTCAGCAAACCTGTGGAACCTGATCGTCTTTTCGATTGCCTACCCAATTCTCTGCGACCATCAGCAGCATCACCCAGTGTCGATGGTCATGGACCTAAACCACATTCAGAGCACCAGACTAGAAGTTTGGAGACTGTAGTTTATCACCCTCCTGCTCTAATTCCTGCAAGAATTATGCCTTTGTTACATGACTTGGCTCAACAAATGGTTGAAGCTGGCCAACAACAGCAACTCTTCAATATATATAGGTAATTTGTTGATTGTTTACTCAACTGTGATGTAGTTTCTAGGTAATAGTATTGCTGTTGCTCGTTTGAAAAGTTTTAGTTACTACTTTACTATATAAATTTCTTGATGGACAAGGATAAGAAAAGATGAATTACAAGTCCACAATGATCGAAAAAGAAACAATATAGTTAAAAGCAGTATCCAATGAGAATCAAGTTTTTCTTATTTGTTTTTTCTTGTATAAAAATATG